TTGCATCGTCGGATAAATATAGGCGGCCGCGGACCGCGCGGCTGCACCAGCCCTAACGCTTTACTTTTGCTCTTCTCGCTCGTCGTTCGCTTTTGGGACGCGGGGCTATACCTCTACTGTATACACGTCGGAGAAAGAGACGCGACTTCTCGCCAGCGTCGCGCCGCGGCATTCCTCTCCCGCGACTCTCTTTCCGCGCCTTGCCGCGTCGCGCAAAACGATCGTTAAATCCGTTCTTCGTTCATGGCCGAGAACTTGGCGATAACGATCCTTACGCTCCGTGACGTTCTTTTTTCTCTCCTCTCTTCTTTTTTTTTTTCCCCACCGAAAAGGACCGCACCCTTTCGGACCTCGAACGAGGTTCGCGCTTTGCACTTTCGATCAACTATATGTGCGTGTTTTTGAACGATCCGTAATCGACGAATGAAAAATTAGAAATTATTACGTACACGTTTCAGAACTCAGAACGACACACACACACAGGGATCTTTTAGGTCCGTTATATCGTGACCTTTTTTGTGTGCTTATATGTTTTATTTAGTTTAGCTATGTATTAATTTTGCATGTATAAACACGTTTATCCGTTCGTGGATCTCTCGTAAAAGCTTACAACTCGTAAAACACACACGCATTGCTTTTATTTGCGCTCTACTTTGTCATCTCATCGCTATTATATTTCTAATGTAAGTTTTTATTGTTACTTTATTGGACTACAATCGCCGTAATCAATGTAAGCTTTAATTAATTTATACATTAGACTACGCGATATAGTTGACACAGAGTGATTTTTCAACATTTTCAGTTTTAATTTCCGACTCGCGATTTAAGTATTCAGCCGCAAGTACTGAGACGTTTGATCATCTTTTTATTCTTTAACTTTACTATTACGATGTTTCCAATTCGACACCGCTTTGTAATTCTCCAAATTGATAATTCTAATGGTTTACTGCAGAGCGAAATTATCATTTTATTAATACTGTACACTGAAAAGATCCGGAATGAAAACGGTCTGTATTTAATTTCTATTATAATAATAAAATTTCTCTACACGGTCACACATATCTTGTGTTGCTTCCTACGAGATTCTTTTGTAATTTTTTTTTTATTCATATATATTCGCTTTATTATACATAAATAAGAATTCGCTAACAAAGTGGGATACATTGTGAAGTATATCACCGAGAGTAACATCAATAAAGAAATTCTTTCCATTGAAAATGTTTACTATCTCTATGAAATAAACCTAGCACGAGATGATACTATTCTTACACGTTTCTAGGAAAAATCTAAGTGGATGACACGAAATTAATGCAGCATTCGTTTAGTTAGTTCTAAAAATTCACTGCCATGCGCGGTCCGATCCTTCGCGATCCCATAACTTACAGTTCATTCGGTTCGAGCGGTTATCTCGCGGCGCATTACAGCAGGCGATAAATTGTAATCGGGTCAGTACAACGATGCATTGTAAAGTATCATGAATTTCCATGTTCCTTTCATCTTCGCGAGAACAACGCCGCTCGACGAGCTCGAGATATCATCGACGCCTATAGAATCTTACGGGGCTTACGTAAGAGAACATTGGGCTCTCCTTCCGTCAACATCGAGTATTCATCAATCTGTCGTATACGTCCAGAAAATTTTCGGCCTGAACAAAATTAGGAGGAGAGGAGCAAAGATTCATTTTTTCCATCTGCACCACCACACGTGGTGGCAAGGCATCCTTTGTAAAGGCGAAGAAAGAGGGAGGGGAGGCTTGACGACGAATCGTTGTAAATCGTGATAAAAAAAAAAAAACCACGTTATCGAGACCGAGTTTTAAGCGAATGCATCCGTTCGGATTTGAAGCTTATACGGCTTATCGTTCGTCGCTGCGCTCGCGGCCCGATGCCGCATGCTTCTGCATGCCAACGTATATAATACGACTGCGGGTCCGGAGGCACGTCTACGTCGCCCGTCACACGTATCGTCGCATATACATATATATATATATATATACACACGCTTGCGTAGGCACGCTCGTTACACCGGACGTCGCGCGCGTCCCAGCATCCAGCGACGACGAGAGCTTGTGCGACTTAGCGACTAGCCCGCTCTCGCGGGCGCATCGGCCCCCTTTGTTTTCGCGGCGGGCGCGCGCGCTCGCGAGAGCGAGCACGTGGCTGCGAGGTCGCGGGGTATAGTCAGTGAAAATCATCGTGCGCGGACATTGGATGGCGGGAAACGTGCGTGATAGCGCGCGGCTGGCCGCCGCGGAGGGAGGCCCTAATCAACCTGGCGCGTGAACCTAACCCCACGCGAGAAACGGGGTGGGAACGCGCGAGGTGGAGGAAGTGGTGGCGGAGACGGCGGCGAGACGCAAGGGAGGGAGGGAGGGAGGGAGGGAAGCAGAAGACGACGACGACGACGGCGGCGGTGGTGTTCTCTCGTTGGCGATCGGCGGCTAGACCAGCGGCGGCGGCGGTGGTGTTCTCTCGTTGGCGATCGGCGGCTAGACCGGGGACAGAGAGCGGAGACGGTTATCGCGGAAGTTCGGCAATTATAGGTGCCGAGTCGTCTTTTTTTTTTTCCCTTCTTTCTCCTTTTTCCCCTCTTTTTTTTTTTCGACGAGTGATATTGATTTGGGAGAGGCAGTTCGTATTCGCGGCACGAGCATACCTTGTGACTCGCAGAGGCGATGCCGCCGCCAGCGCGATGCATCACGGCGCAGCGCGCATTGAGGGGTACACGTCGGCTCTGCCGGGAGGGTGAGAGAGGATCCGCGCGTGGTGAGGGTAGGGAGACGGAGGGACAGGAGGAGAAACGTGCGATGGCTAGAGAGAGAGAGAGAGAGGTGAAGCGATCGGACAGTTCCCCGCCAACTCGATCGTGTTCCCCTACACCGAAAGGCCGCCCCACCGCGTAGACCGTCGGTTCCCCCGACGGCACGGTATCAAACCCCTTCTACCGGTTCAACGAATATAACTTCCTCGCTTCGCCTCCTCTCGACCCTCCCCTTCCTGCCCGTCGGTCCTCGCCGCTCGTCTCGTTCTCCACCACCGCTGATCGCTGCCGCCGCCGCCGCCACCACCACCACCACCAGCACCACCACCACCAGCCTCCTCTCGTCAGGAACGAACGCTGAATCTCATCTACCCGTGGTGTTGCTCCATCGCGGATATAGTCAGGATAATAAGAAATTGATCAATCGTATAAATTAAAAGATTCAGACGACGTTGAACTGACTTTTGAGCGAATATTTTTGAAATGGCGAACTCAAATGGAATCCAAGAAATAATATTAATTGTTTATCACGGAGCTGAATATAGATGATTAGCGATTATCAGCGAACTTGTTGAAGGTACGAGAGATGAATGGTTCCTTGTAATTATGGAATTCTAATTTCAAGTATTCTTTGAAGTACCGTCATTATTATTATACATCGCTAAACGATATATCGAGATAGAGACGTTCAAGCCGGAACAATCAGATCAAGACAACACAAGATAGACTTTGCGAGAACACGAAAGGGAGCTAAATATACTCAAAAGTTATATAACAGTCAAATTGTGATGATAAGTTTAAAGTGTTACACGACTTTATCACTAAATTGTCCATTTATGCCTATTTCTACCAATAATGTAGAGTAACTTTTCGATTCAACTCACTCTTTGTCTTTCTTCAAAACTTGTAACTAAAAAAAGATAAAGAATTAGTTGGCCTATGATAAAAATTGAATTGTAAAAATGAATATATTAAATAATTTTTCCTCTTCTTTGTAGATCTGTACTTTGAATGTGAGGGATCCTAAAGTCGTCTGTTTTACCGATTCAGTACACACATACGCTTCATGTATCATTGACACATCACTACTCCATCAGTACCACACGCACACCATTCATACAACATTTCTAGCCAACGTCTCTGGTCCAAACCACGAGATCGTTTAATACAAAGTAAACATTACTATAGTTGATAACCAGAAACCGAACAAAACTGCAATTTTTCGACTTTTTTCTTTTTGTCGGTTCGAACCATCCTGCTGTTTACGTTTCAAAAATTTGTGGGAAAGAATTTTTAAAGGACAATTAGAAAAATACTCACTCGATAATTAATCGGTAATACACAAGATGACTTTGGCATTCCACAGGTAGGATTAATTTTGATCTTGAACTTAGACTTTAGAAGACGAGAACTCTTCCTAAAATTCTTAGATTAAAGTGAATCCGATCTACATTTGTGAAACCGGGCTTTAAACTGGAGGCAAGCGGGAAACGACATCCGCCCCTGCAGCCGTCGGTGCCGCCGCCGTCGCCGCTACCACCGCCGCCGCCGCCGCCACCCCACCGCGACTCGCTCCACGGCACCTTCTCCTCCGCTCTCTCTCGCGTCCTCTCTCTCCCGATATTCCTCTACCATCCCAAACCCGAACCAGTCCAGAAATCCCCACTCTGATCGCGCGTGCACCGCGACGACGGAAGTGTGGCAACGCCGCAGAGCGCTCGCCAGTGTCTCGGTCTTGGCGAGTTACTCGGGGGGGCTCAGGCCGAGTCTACCGAGATTGTGTCTACCGGCGCGCGGGTAACCCGAAAGCGAGTGTGGCGAGGATTAAAGTCGCGGGCCGTTTTCCGGCATGCGAGACCGTCTCGCTGCTGTCTGAAGGCCGTACAAGAACGCACGTAGGACGACGCGCCAACGATAAGAAAAGTTTCACGGCCGCGGATCTAGAAGAGGAAACCGCCGACGACGACGACGACGACGACGGCGACGGCGACGACGACGAAGAGAAAGAGATAAGGCAGGAGACGAAACGTAGCAGGAACGGCAGAGGAAAAAAGAAAAAGAGGCGGTGAAGGAGGAGGAAGAGGAGAAGGAGGAGCAGCAGCAGCAGGACGTATCGTCGCCGCGCGCGACAGCGTAGCAAGAGCAGGAACAAGCCGACGAGACCGGGCGCCGCGCGCTCGCACGTTGCCGTGCCGCCGCGCTTTAACATATCGCGCCACACGCGCGTCGTGAACCGCGTATACGCGCGCGTGAAACATACACGCGCACGACATTACATATTTATATGCATACACGGTGACCCGCGCGCGGAGATAATACAGTGTAAATGGCGCTCTCGGCGCAGAACCAGTCGACGTCGTACGTGAACTTGTATTACTCGATCGTCCAACGTGCGGCGACGCGCTACTTTAAGGAATATTACAACTCCGGTAAGTAACCTGACATTGTATACGCACGCACACACGCATATATACAACCCGCAGATACGCAGATATGCGTAAAAAAAAAAAAAAAG